AAAAAAAATTAAAAGAAAAATAGAATTGCTTGCTTTTGTTTTGCATTTGAGGTGTGCGTGCGTGACTCGGTGAAAATGGCACAAGGCGAATGCATACGTAATCACGACGAGTTATTGAAAACTAAAATAATGCGAAAGATTACTGGAAAATTTAAACAATAGATAGCAAAAATTAAAAAAAAAAAAAAAATCACACAAGAAGCAAATAGCCAAATAATTAAATCATTGCACTGCCACGTGCATAAATTTATGTTTTTTGTGCTTTTATATGTTTTTCGTTTTTGCTTAATTTTGACAGTGTTGTTTATAGAATTCGCGTGTGCATTGCTTTCGCCGGCTATTTTCTGCGATGAAATAAACGTATTTTGCGTAGACATATGTCTATTAAATAAGCTTTGTGAAGGAGGAAGTGTGAGAGGAGGGGGTAAGGATTATCGATCGCAAGGTTGCGTAAAGTGAATGCGCAGACGGTGCTGGGAGCCGTGCACGTAGGCAGTCGGCAGTTGGCTCGCCCAGCTAATCGAGTGTTTTCTTCAATACGACCTTATTTACTATTTTATTACACAATAATTTGTTTGCTTTTCAGCAATATTATTAAAAAATTTTATACCTTGAATTTGTTTTGTAATTTAATATTTGCTACTCGAATCAACTTTCAACTTTTGTTTATGTTTACTTATCTTTTTTTTGTTTTTTCTTTCCACAGAATTGTATAAACTGACGGGCGAGATCCTTGGCGAAGGCGCCTACGCCTCCGTGCAGACATGCGTAAACATCTACACCGATTTGGAGTATGCTGTAAAGGTGATCGATAAAATACCGGGACATGCGCGTGCGCGTGTTTTTCGCGAAGTGGAGACATTCCATCACTGTCAGGGACATCCGGGCATTTTACAATTAATTGAATTCTTCGAAGATGATGAAAAATTTTATTTGGTTTTTGAAAAGGTAAGCCGCGTCACAACACGCTCTTATGTACAACTATTTTTTCCTTCTAAAATTAAAAACTCTATGCGAGTGTTTAAAAAAAAGTTTTGAGAATGCTTTTTTAAATTTAATTTTGGAATATAATTTTTTTAAATCAAATTTTTTTGAAATCAAATCACAATTTGAAATGCATTTTTTTTTTTAATTTTTATGAAATATAGTCTTTTGAAAATTAATATATACATCTGTATTTTTAATATTAGTAAATAGATTACATATTTTAAATTTTTTCTCGACATCCATTTTTTTTAATTCCTTTTTTTTAAATAAATTTTTATAAGTCAAATGTTTTTTGTCCATCAATCAGTTTGAAATCTATGCTTTTTTTTTAAACAATTTTTTGTGCAGATCAAATTATTTTAATTTTTGTTTTCAAATTTATTTTTATTTTTCAAATCCATTTGTTTCAAATCAAAGTTTTGTCAACATCCCGTTTTTTTATCTATTCGATTTTTGAGATCAATTCAATTTTGAAATCCGATGTTATTGAAACCTAATTGCTCTATTATTAAATCGATTTTTCCGTTTTTAAAAATTTTAAATAACTATGCTTTCTTTTGAAAAAGAAAAATCGCGTACATCCATACTTAGTATGCTACTTAAAACAGAATTAAAAAAAAATAATATATTATAATTTTTTTACTCTCCTTTTCCAGATTAATGGCGGCCCCCTTTTGAGGCGCATCCAAGAACAAATTTGTTTCTCAGAACATGAGGCAGCGCAGATTATCAAAGAAATCGCATCTGGCTTGGATTTTCTGCACAAGAAAGGCATTGCTCATCGTGATCTGAAGCCGGAAAATATTTTATGTGTAAATCCGGAAAAATTGTGCCCGATTAAAATTTGCGATTTCGATTTGGGATCGGGCATCAAATTCACCACAGACGTGTCATCGCCATCGGCAACGCCACAACTGCTAACACCAGTGAGTAGAAATAATAAAATGCTAATTTCTCGCTTTTTGAAATATACTCCTCATCTCTTTTAATCTTTTTGTACGGCTTTTAACTTAAACCTTAACGTCTCACTTTTCTTAGGTCGGTAGCGCAGAATTTATGGCGCCCGAAGTTGTTGATCTATTCGTTGGCGAGGCAAATTACTATGACAAACGTTGTGATCTGTGGTCGCTTGGTGTGATTGCATATATACTATTGTGTGGCTATCCACCATTTTCGGGCAACTGTGAACAGGATTGCGGCTGGAATCGTGGCGAGAACTGTCGCACCTGTCAAGAGTTGCTCTTCGAGTCCATACAAGAAGGTAAGTGAGATTCGGGAGTATAAACCACACTACTTTATTGAAATGTGCGTAATTAAATGAAACACATGTTTTTTTATAATTTCTTGTTGCATTATTCTAGGACGTTTTTGCTTTCCCGATGCTGAATGGACGGACGTGAGCGAAGAGGCCAAAGACTTAATTCGTGGCCTGCTCGTCAAGGAAGCGCCAAAGCGTTTAAGTGCTGCAGCCGTTTTACATCATCCATGGATCAAATTTTCCGAGGAAGAGAATCCGGCCGATAGTAAGAAAATGGAAAATCGGCGTAAAGCGCTGCGCACTCCTGGCAATATTAGGCGGTAAGTTATTTAATGGAAAATAAAAAAATAAAACACAAACAAGCTGCTACTTTTGCATAAATGCTCAAGTTTTATATGTTTCCTATTCATTTTCTAACATTGTAGTACTAAAATTTAACCTTTACTTTTCAGCAATCAATCTGCGCGCGAAATATCGCAATTCGCCGAATCGGCAATGGCTGTGAAACGCGTGATCTTGCAACACTTCTCCATGCGCTACGACTACATGAAGGAGCGCCCGAACATCTATCAGCCGTCGCAAATACAGCTCGAGACTCACAATGGCGGAACGGATAACAACAGTCCGCCAGTATTTATTAAACCACCACCGCCACGTAGTCGCTCAATGAATAATACGCTGAGCGTTAGCAATAATCGATCCGTCTATGGCGGTCGCAACAGCAATTTGTATGCCGCACGACAATCAAGTCGCTTTGGCAGCATCAATGGCAGCGGTGGTGGTAAATCGTCGAGCATTTTTCAATCGGGCGCGTCATCGTTCAAGACTCTGAACGTGCATGAGGAGGACGATGACGACGAGGAGGCGCTAGAGGCATTCGGACGGCTCGACGAAGATGAAGAGTGGGCGCATGTGGGCGAGCGTCATGTCGGAGAATTTAACGCTCACGACGATGAGGAGGAGATGGGCAGACGTAGACATTTTCTAGATGATGCAGAAGATGGGAGTGACGTTGAGAACTGTCACTATCATTGGCGCGATTTGGATAATGTAAATGAGGAGTTTGAAGGCGAGGATATGGAAACAAGAAGCAGTGATAATTATACGCCACATGACTTTGACGATTACAACAGGCGCCCAAGATACTATGTAGATGGCGATCAAGATGAAGAGTTGTATATGGGCGGAGATATGGAGCAGGAACATAATCGTTATCGTCATGGCGATTATGGTGATAATGCTATTACTAGTGATGCGGAGGATAGTTCCTGTGTTGGGGGTGATGACAAACGCAGTAAGACAACATTACTACAGGGTGCCATGCAAACCAAGGAGGGGGAGAGATCAGCAGGAGCTGAAAGTGCTCTTGAATTAAATTATAATAGATTACATAATGAGCGTAAGGATGCAGACGCAGAGGATGACGACGAAGAGTGGAAGGGGAGGAGAGTTAAGGAGGAGCGAATGTTTGAGAATAATGCTTATGTTAATGTTGATCATGATAAGGTTAAGGTTAATGCTAATGATGATGATGATGAGGATGATGATGATGAGAATAATTTGTTTGAAAGACCCGATGTTGATGAAAGCGTTTTCAAATTCAAGCAAGAAAACATCGAAAAGCTAAAGCAACAACAGCAAAACGAATTTGCTAACGAAACGAAATTGAATTTCAATGCAAATTCAAATGGAAAAGCAAAATTCAAAACTTATTATAACATCCAAGATAATAATATTGAATCAAAGAATGTTGATAATGATAATAACTGTAATGTTAATCGTAGCAGCAGCGGCGCAGGCAGCAACAAAGCTAAAGATTTGTTGCTGGCCGCTGAACAATGCCAACTTCCAATCAGTGATATTAATAATATAACAATCACCAATTCAAATAGAGAAACAAAAACAACAACCGATGCTGGAGCAGAACATACAACAAAAACAACAACTCTCACCACCAACGACAACAGCAGAAATGCTTCGAAGGCAGAAACAGAGGCAAATAAAGCAAATATATATAATCAAATCGATGGAGGAGGAGATAATATTAAAACAACAACAACAACAAATGAAAATGCTAATTTATTGGCTAGTATTAGTGATTTGAAAGAAACGCTACCTGAATTTAATGAGACTGCAAATATTGTTGTCGCCACGTCAGTGAACGGAGCCGCATTTGAGACTGCAGCAGTCAATGACAATGATGATAAAAGAATTGCTGTTAAGCGCGAACAACCGTCAGCGACTCAAAGCGACGATGTAAACGAGAACATTTTCGACTCAAGGGCTCCGGTAAGCGCCAGAGGTAAACATCAGACGTTGCAGGACAAAGAAGAAGCAGCGGTTGACGCAAATGCAGTAGTGCCAGCGGCTTCCACCACCAGCGCGGCGACAACAATGCGAACGACTTTTGGCAATCAGCAGCAGCATACACAAAAACAACAACAACTACAGCAACAGAAGCAGCCGCAGAAGCAAAATCAAAAACAACAGCAGCAGCAGCAGCCGCAAAAACAAAATAAAAAGCAGCAGCAACAATTACAGCAAACTCAAAAGCAACAAACTTTATTGAAAACTAAACGTTCGCCATGCGCTAATAAAGCACAGCGTAATGTGTGCTTTGCGCTTGGCAGTGCCGGCGCTCGCGGCGTCGGTGGCGGCGGTGTTGACGATGATTACGATGCATATCAGAATAATAATTACGATGCTGAACTTGAGGATGATGCCGATGAGGATGATGATGCTGCTGTTTACGGTAGACCGCGCTCGCACAGCACCAACAACGCCAATGCGGCCGGCTATACGCGTCGCCAGCAACAACAACAACAATACAACAATAAACATAGACGCTATTCGCAACCAGCAGCCGGCAACAATGCCAACAACAGCAAGCAGCAACAGACTTCAGGTCAAACGGCTGAAAATTGGCGCAACCGTGGTGGCATTTTAATAAACGGCGCTAGCAGCGGCGATGGTGTTACTGCCAACAATTACCGCACCAAGTATCGTTCGCCAGGCGTACATTCGCCCGGTTGGAATGCAGCAGGTCAACAACGCAGCAGCGGTAGTGGTGGCTACTACTACAACGCTCGCTCCACTAGCGGCAACAGCTATAACAACAGCCACGTTAGTGTAAGCGGCGCTTCGCCACCATCCGACGATAGCGGTAGCGGTTCTTCTGGTGCCATACACAACTGGCGCAATGATTGCATCTATACAGGTGCACGCAATTGCGGCATGCAACAGCACCGTAGCTACCAACATCCAACACAGCCACGCTACTCGCCCACCCAAGAGGGCGGCGGCGGCTATGGCGCCATAATGCGCGCCCAAGTCTTGCGAAGTAATCAACACCAGCCGCGCATAGGCTCAGGTCGTTTCACGCATTCCCCAACGGGCGGCATGTATTTACAACAGCAGTCGCGCGGTAGCGCCGGCGGCGGTGACAGCGTCGGAAATGGTTTTGTTATGGGCGGCAGCAGTGGATCACCACCATCACCTGGTACACTAGGCATTGGACTCTCACCGCCGAGCGAGAGTTTGTTAATGCAGCGACGTATGCGCTTAGCAGCAGGCGCTGGACAACATCTAGGCAGCGAATACTGTCAATCGGCAACGGCTAGTGGTTAATAAGCGAAAAGTTTACTACTACGAAAACTTACATACATACATACATAAATACGTATAAATATATTCAAAAACAAAACAAACAATAACATTCATGCAATTTTGAACACAAGACACACGTTTTTTTCGTACGTTTTGTTGTTCCACATTTTCCCCTAAGAGTACCAACTCAATTTCAATAATAATTGCAAAATTAAACAAAAAATTAAACCTAATAATCCAACATGTAATTGTGTGCGTGAGTAAGGGTGAAAGGGGGAGAAAAAATTAAAAATTCCTACTACGACATTTTTCGGTGAGAAATTCTGAAACGTATAAGAAACTAGCGAATTATTTTGAAGTTAAGTAAACAAATTCTAATTTGGCGCAATGCATTTTTCGAGATTTTCGCACGTTTCAGAGACTAACAATTTAACAATTTTAGAAAAATCGTGTCTTAGCATTCTACCCTCCCGCTTCAACCAGTTGTGCTCACCCACGCAAGCTATTATCCTTTTTCGGTTTTTACTTTACAAAAAATACATACATACAATATTTTTGTACCTTTCTTAATTTCAATATTTTGCTCTCACTTGTGTAACGGGAAAATTGTGTGCTGAGTGAAAAGTGCCCGCTGCACGGATGGTGGAATGTAAAGAACTTCACAAAAAAATTTAGGATTTTTTTTGTTCAACTAGAAAACATAAAATCACAAAAAGAAAAAGTTTGTTTGAATCGCAAAAATTTTGCTAAAACTGTATAGCATATGTGCGCCCTTTGGCCTGCTTCTCATTTTACCCTTACAGCGTACCTTCCACTCAGCCCATCACAAGCTTTCCAAAATTCCAAATACACATAATTTAATTATAATTACTTTATCACTATTATCTCAAAAATTTGTCTTAACAAAACAAAAAAAAAATGTTTCAATTCATTTTTTTCCAATTTTTTACCAACATACTTATGTATAATTGCAATTGATCTTTTCGAACGATATTTTCGTAATAACGACTGGTAAACGCAATCGCCAAAAAACAAAAGTAACAAATATGTAAAGTTTGTTGTATGAAGATTAAGAATGTGTTTGTTGATGTTAAAAAAAAATATGGCTGTTAAGATGGAAAAACAATGGCTTTTTGGCGGGCTTATATAATAAAGTGTATTATGAACGAAAACAACAACAACAACAAAAAACAACACTGGAATCACATCACCGCCACTCATGTAGTATATGAAGTGAACTTTCGCGACATAATACACTTACACACACACACATATATATGTACACAAACGCAAACATACATACACACACAGTAACATAAAATTACACTTCGTTCATAAAATGTTTATAACAACACCAACAATGTGTGAAAAGCGTAGAAAAAAAAACATTTAAACATCGTACAATCCAAAAAGTCGTTCACTTTTTTTTATAAAAAAGATATGATAATTCATATAATTTTTAATAATTATAAAACGAAATCGTAAACAAAAAGAAAACACTCTGAAGTTTGATTTTTTGATAAATAATTATATTGTAGTATCTACTATATACCTACTCTTGTTGTGTAGCAGAAAGATGTTGAAGTTTACAAACAAACGGACAAATGCAGCTGAAGTGATGGTAGACGAAGCTGTAGCTATTATCAATTATGTATGTATGTATATGAGCGCTGCAGAATTATTTTTTTTTTATCTGCAAAATTTGTTCAGTTTGATAAAAGAAACAAAAAGCAAATTTACTTTGATTAAAATAAGCTCAAGCAAAAAAGAACTATTTGTAACTCCCCGTCCCAGGCTTGCGTGGTGCAGTTAATAGTAGTTGTAGCAGATATCCCAGTAAAAAATGTATGGATTCTAGCAAAAAGCGGGCGATCAAGAAATAAAAAGTTTGTTGATTCCTCGCTTATTGGTACTTGTCGGAGTAATAAAACGAGCTAAGGAATAGACGGAAGATAACTCCGTTTGTTCTCGTTTCGGAGGTCAAAATAAGCTCAAACGAATACTTCCTTTCTCCTTCGTAAGAAGCTCAAACGGAGTGCTTGCCCGTAAGTACACGCAATTTTAAAAGTAAGTATAAAATGCACAAGTCTCGGAGACTTGTGGAAGAATCCATTGCTCACGAAGGAACTATCTAAGATTAATCTTTGGTTGCTCCTACTTTTTGTTTTTTTTTTTTCTGGGACCTTCTGTTATAGCGCGCTATTATTTGGTTATATGATTTGTTTGTTTTGTAAACAACGTTGAGCGCCTAAATATATACTACGAAGGCTGTATGCGTGATAACCACAGCAGGTGAAAATAAATAGTTTTAAGTTTGTATGACTGTGGCAAATAATTGGGAGAACGAGCTTAGTTTTAGTACATAAAACTGTTTAGATTTCTTCAGTGTATGATGTTGAGCGCCTAAAAGTTAATCAGCCTCATTGCGTAAATCGTAAATTAGGCTGAATTGTACGACCCGACAACATTGACATTGTCTACTGTCGTGCTGAAATAAGTGAACGACGAAAACCAAGTGCTGTCATTTTTTTCCGTTTTTTAATACATTGGTCGAAATTTTAGGCAATGACGCGAAATTTTCGATACGATTCGACTCCCGAAAAACGACTTACATCCGACACAACTCTTGTAATGAGGGTGAATATTTGGAAGACTCGTATATTGCCTTTTTGGTTGTTGTTGTTTCCAACCGGGTGGGTGTATGATGTATTTTGGAACGAATTTCCGTCATACCTTGTCAAATTTGGTTTGGAGACAAACCGGTTTCGGCGTTGTGCCATCTTCAAAGAAGTGGTAGTTACGGTTTTTTGCATTTCAGGTGACGATATGTAGTTTTCTGGAGGTCGGTAACTAAACTATTTTGAAGCGACATATCGAAGATAAAACGTTACGTTCAACGTCGCAAAATCAAGCATACTTTTAGGCGCTCACAGAGGCTACGTATTCATAAATATTTATGCTTGTGTGTGTTCGAGCTTTAATAATTGCAGCAGGGCTGCTTTTTATTCAAGAATATCTAGGGTTCTAGATAAAAAAAACAACGGCGATAGAATGTGTTGGAGACCAACAAAATATTTTCGTTCTATTTTTATTTGCTCTCAAAACGAACGCAATGCGAATACGTTCGAAAGCAATTTTCTGTATTATTATAGAGCCATATGCAGTTGAGTATCAGGAAAGGAGGAGGGGTGTCGCTCGAACACACGCTTGAATGCAAAATCGGAAATAATTAAAAAAAAAAATTAAATTTTCAGATTGCATAGTTTTGTCTTTCGTACAAACTTTATTATTTGTTGTTCCTCTCAACTCATGTAAGGTATCTCCAAGTGAGCTGCTCCTCTCAGAGGGAAATTGATCGGTTATACTTTACGATGACCTCTAGCACGAATCGTATTTTTGTGCATTAGGGTGTAGCACTCTCCATAAAAAACTTGTTTGTGTTTTTCCAAATTTCGAGACTTCCGCTAAAAACTTTAGGAAAAATATTAAGGTTTACCTGAGCTGGATCTATTTGAAAATACCTTCGAAAATCGAGTCTTTTATAAATAAAATTAGTTCTTAAAATATTTTTTCTAAACAATCAGCTCAGTGATAGAAGAGTTTAAGTTTAAAAAGTCTGCTTAAAAATGTTTGAAAAGCTAATCAACAGAAATAAAAATAGTACGATTTTTGGAGGTATTTTCAAATCTTTATATTCTTCCGAAATTGCAACACCGTCCAGTAGCAATTAACCGTGATGTACAATTAGCAGATCTTAGCAGTAGCTAATTAAGCAAACTTTTACTAAACCGCCAGATTTTAACTATCCGAAATTTGTTCACTCAATTTGAAAATTCTATGAAATCAGCTGATAATTTATTTGCGTGAACCCGGTTGTAAGAGTTTCAAAAAAATTTCCAGGGCCATTGTATATTATGAAGTTGAGTTGAAAAAGAGTTGCATTAAAAGAGAACTGTTACTAGTGTATTTTCGAATTTTCCAAGCATAAATGTTGCTTCACCAATAAACCGTTGTTTTCATTTAGCCAAGGTCTGAATTAACCGATGGAATTTGTGTATGAAAAAGCTAAAATAAAATTGGGGTCAGATTTTCCGTGCCAATTAAAAAGAGTTCAACTAGCCGGTTTCGACTGTAATTCCGGTAGAAAAACTGCAACTAGATTTGGTGGTGCACCCTAATGTACATACATATTTTATCATGTATATCAACGCGGCGCACTTACAAATAAATTTATGCGCCAAAAGTAAAGTGATAGAAGTTTTAATTTTAGGATTCAATTTTCAACAAAAAAAGCAAACGAAAAAAATTTATTGCACTCAATTTTGATGCTAAAGTTGTTGTATTTGAATACCACAAAAAATCAATGACAGCGAAGTAAGATATCAAATTGGCTGCAGCGGCTCAACATACACCCAAAGAGACATACAGACACGCATACACTAAAGTGCTGTAGCCAAAAAACATATCTGGAGTTAAGCCATTTATGCTTGCATTGATTTTTGAAAACAAAAAAAATATTTTATATAAATTTTAATGTACTCGTACATACATATGTATTTATCTTATACTCGTACACATTTTCTGTTAAAAAAAAAATGTTAATTATTTCGAAAGCAAGTAAAAAAATGCAAAAAAGTGCAAATACTAAAGCGATCAGAGATGCTGCATATTGCAGTGAAGCGCGTGCGAAAAATTCCATTTAAACTTACATTTAATAAACAAAAAAAAAAAAACTTGCATATATACATACATACATACACATGCATTCATACATATTACACACATATAAACACTTACTACACAATTCGCTAATATTTAACACTAATTAATACAAAACAAACAAAAAAACAAACAAAAACACAAAATACAAAAAAAAATCAAACCAAATTCCCTCTCAAAAACATTTTTATATAAACTATATATATTTTTGCAACTCAGTGAGGTGAAGTTTAAGTGAGAAGAAGAAGCTGATGCAGATGATGATGATGATGATTATGATGAAAAAGTTGGAAGTGTAGAGCTATGTAAACGGCAGAAGTTGCAGTGGGCGAATAAGCGAGCGAAACGAATTTTAGTATGCTAAGCACATTTGATAAAGTTTTTGATTGATACACACACATACATACATACATACATATTCTAAGAATGATGAGAGGATAATGATGATGCTAATATGAAGAAGAGACCCAAGCGAGTTAGTAGCAAAAATAAACAAAATAAACCAAAAAAAACAAAATCATAAAAATTTATAAAATCAAGATGAGTAAGAAAAGAAAGTAAGAAGCGATGATAAGTACTACACATAGATACACTAGGCGACAAAAGAAAGTGCGCACCTTGTTCTAATATAATATTCACAATTATTTTCATGAAATTTTTTTGCATTGATTATTTATGAAAATATAGTTCATTTTATAATATAAACCGTAAAAATCAGAATTTCACACTTTATATAAAGTTCACAAAAATTCAAAAAAATTTCATAAAAATTTTCAACTTTTAATTGAGAATTTCTATATGCAGTTTTGTAGTTAATTGAGTCTTATGCCTCTAATGGCTTACAATCTCGTTGATTTTTGAGAATTTTTTTTTTGTGACGGATTTTTTTCATTTTTTTCAATATATATATATGCATTTCTTATGAAATAAAATGCGGGAGACCATAAGCAACAAAATTTCAAAAAATCGACGCCAGTTTTTGTAAATTCCACATGTTATAAAAAATTACACAAAAGCAGTATCCAAAAAAAAATCTCTAAACTCAGCACGTGCCGGTTGAAACTTGCACTTCATTAGACTAAAATTGAATGGGCTACACAACTGCATACAAGAAATTTTGAAATGTTTTGAATTTTTGTGAACTTTATATAAAGCGTGAAACTTTGATTTATATGGTTGATACATACATAGTATAGAATGAACTGTATTTTCATAAATAATCAATGCAAAAAATTCTTTATGAAAATAATTGTTAATATTATAATAGAACAAGCTGTACACTTTCATCTGTCGCCTAGTGTATGTTTGCACATGCGCTTTGCAGCTTTCCTCGTAAGTTTTTACCGCGCTTTGATATGCCAGCTGCAGAGCGCATGTGCGTGCAAGCGCGGTGGAGATAATTTTGCGAAGCAATCGAACAAGAATGTATGAATGGAATTATAAAAGGCGAAAGCAAATAATAAATAAAATAAAAATACGAAAAAAAGATTCATAAAAAATTATAATAAAAATAAAAGTCGAGTATCAAACTAAACGATAACAAAAAATTAATTGTGTTTTACTTTTTTTTATTTTTCAAAA